AATTTTTTATACATTGACAATGTTATTTTCTTAAGCTAAGAATTTCAAAGAGTTATTAAAACTTATGAATTAAAGCAGTACTTAGGTTATGAATTAATTGGCAGGCATTCAATAAGTTTTATGGAAAAGGAATGAAAAATTTGTCAATTCACTATTCAAAATTTTTTAAATACTTACAAATACAAATTTTTAATTTTCAAATATAGCATTGCACGTGCTCAGTGATTTCGTTAGTACAGTGATGATTTTATCGTCAGTAAAACCCGCAATATTTATCTATACAAGATTGTTTACGTGTATCTTCACTAATGATTAACTATGTGAGAACTTAAAAATTGAGATATTATATGGATTTTTTTTTTCTCACACAATCAGTCAAAAAATTACTCTTTATTCCATAAAATAATCGACCCCCTTAGTGAATGCTCTACATACGTGGAACTATACGCATTTCCCTCTACACATTCGTCTTTATAAAACTAATTTTGTACATGTAGTGCCGCTTGGTACATCAAAAAAGAACATTGATTGAGCTAAAGAATTTATTATTAAGCACTACACGAAATTATTTACAAGAATCAATACAATTCATAATTCAGCATCTGGCCGCTGCCTTTCCCCTATCCTGACAACCCTAATATTTTTATATTCGTTCAGACAGTTTAACGCAGGACTTTATCCGGTTCACAGCAATCAGACCGAGTAAATCAGAAACATTGTCCTGAAAGTATAGTGAAATTGACTAGTTTTACTGTTATAAGGTTCCACAATCTTACGACGCGTTTTTGCAGTAAAATATCTCAGCCGAGATAATAAAAATACATTAATTTCTTGCAATCTTCGGTTTCGTTATTGCTGGTCTAAAATGGCTGTATCAACTTTTTCAGTTTTTATTCTTTTAGCTGTTTCATTAGTTTCTGGCAATGACTCAACAACTAATATAAATGATTATTCGAATCTAATAATGGACGTGAAAGAATTGTATAAAATCAACAGTGTTGTGATCGTGTACAATAGTTTTGAAAGTAAGTAGAAAAANCGAATCTCAGCTGCGCAAATTTTTTTTTTTTTTTTTTTTAAAGGAATGAATGTTGCAACGGGTATCATCAGGCAACTTTCAAAAAATTATCATTATTCGATGGCAATCGCAGGATCTGACTTAACCACTAGGTTTTCCAGTATGAAGAGCAGTTCAAAGTTATTATTCGTCGTTATGCTAAAAACTGAAGACGATTTAAAAAATTTCATGCATTTTACGACGACAGAAAGTATTGATTCTCATGTGTGGTTAGTATTATTTGATTCATCAATGACGGAGTCAATGAGTACTTTCTGCCGAAATCCACGAGAAAATCGCCTAGGCTTGAACTTTGCTGTTGAAATGATGGTTAAATGTGGGGATGATTCGGATATCAAGGAGTGGTTCTCCAAAGGATCATTGGATAAAGAGATGCAGGTACACGAATACCTTAAGTGGAATTCAAAGACTCGTCTGAATGTCACAGATCGTCGAGCTTTGTTTGAGAGGAGGAGAAATTTGAGGGATGTCTCGCTGAAAGTTTTATCTAAAAAAGTAAGAAAAATTTTCTATTTTAAACATCTGACAACGGTTATCCCCTATAACACATGTTTTCGTTATCAAAGAATAAGGAACCAGCTCAGTCCAAGGTAATAAAGGAAAACTATGTCTACGAAATGCCAGAAAAAATGATAAGTGAATTGACGTCTGTGATGAAAATAACTCAAGAAACCAAAAACTTAATGAAAGCCGATAAAACTGGGGACCAAACATCCGAAAACCTGAATAATACATCTCATACCTATGCATCAGATATCGATGTGATAGCTATGATCATGTATATGAATGAATATCAATCGGAAAAATTTGATCTTACGATACCCATTTCAAGTTTTCAACACAGTCTGTTTATCAAAATTCCTGACAATTCATATGTACCTTGGAACGCCTACATAGAGGTGAGAAATTCTTATAAAATAAAACATCCTTCATTTTACTAGTCTCATCATCGTCTTTTCTACATCGATCTACAAAAAAATCGATAATTGAATGTAAAAAGGAGTATAAAAAATCAATAATTTATTTTTCTCATGTAATAATTAGTAGTTCGACACCCTAAAATAAAGGCACACTCAAATTAAAATGATTGGTGGCGTCTTTCTTCATTAGACAAGTATCATACAAACTTCATTCGTAATTTGTGTTCATAAAATTATAAATTTAATATTAAAATATTAGATTTTTAGAAAGAGTACATGGATTACGCTAGTTATTACTATAATGATCTTGACGATTATATTGACTTGTATCAACATCAGAAACAGAGACAAAAGAAAGTCGAGATATACAATTCTATTGGAAAGTTACACACAAGTGTGGGGCATATTCTGTCAGCAGGGACTGTCACGTAAGTTTTCAATACTGAAATTGGCGATTAACAAAAAACCAAACAACTTACAAATATTTCATAAATTTACAGAGACTTATGATAATCGTACGTCACTAAAATGCGTGTACTTATTCGTGCTATTTTGCGCATTAGTAATTTACGCAGTTTATTGTGGGTCGTTGGCCAGTTACTTGACAGTCGGAGAACCTACAGTGCCGTTTAAAGATCTAACTGAGTATATGCAAGATAGTAATTATAAAACCATTGCTTTAAAAAATTCAAGCTCTTATGAATTTATTCTGGTATAATTACAAATAGTTTCAGTGTCAATAAATTTTAAGATTGTTTTAATTTTTCTTTTTTATACATTAACAGGTACCATCCAAGGACCCAACTTATAATAAAATAAAAGAGCTAATTCAAAATTCAAATAACTTACTGAATAATACAGAAGCAGCTATTCAGCAGGTATTTACTTAAAGTCTTGAATCATTATTAAAATCAGTAATATAAACTATAACACCATTCTTACTAAATATGATATTAAACGGCTACACTGACGTTGCGTGACGACAAAGTGGTGCAAAATGTTATACTTTTATCACAGTTTATACACATATAGCGAAATGTGTACTTAAACATCTTGCTTAATTTGTTAGTGCATGTGCCAGAATAAATTAATTAGAACATGACAGGCAAGCTTGCAAACTAAAAAAATTTACTTATAGTTTAGTACTTATGATTGAATTTTTTATTATTTTTTAACCGTTAATTTTGAAGTGGAAAAACTACTGAACGAGTCAAACTTGAAAGTGTACGTGAGTACGGGTCAGTTGGATTTTATTATTAATACGCCAGGTAGGAGTTTGTTTTTTACTTTCGTTTGGAAAGAAGATGTTTTTTTTTTTTTTTAAATATGTGGTGACGATGGACGGTAATTTTTCAAGGCACCTTGTGGTGGATACAAAAAATGAAGTGGAAGTACTCCAAGGAATGGGCTAATGCACCCAGGATCCCCCTTGTCATCAATAACATTATAGAAGGATACAGTAAATCTTACGAACGTTTCAAACTATTCTGGGTGAATAGATCGGGGCACATGGTGAGTAGCCACGAAATGTTTTTTTTAATTTTTATTAATAGTTTGGTTCATTCTAAATTGAGATTATCTATTTTTTTTTTTTTTTTTTTATAATGACTATTGCATACTGCTAGAGTAATGTACCATGATTTTTTTTTTTTTTTTTTTTGAACGGGTGCCGTACAGAGTTTTGGGCCCAAAAATTTTATTTACAAAGACAAGAAAATTCTATAATTTTGATTATTTAAAAGTCAGCAATAATTACGTTGAGAAATCGTTATAATTTTTAATTTTGAGTTTTACCAGACAAATGTTACGGTTGAAGCAAAGAAAGAAATACGAGATACCGTATAATTATAGGCGCACTATAATGTAATTTTGATTCTATTGTTATTTTGTTTCAGATACCAGTCGATAATGATATTGCAATGAAAAGTATACTACGAGACTTAATAAATTGAAATAAATAAATTTATTCTTATGTTTCGCATTTGCGAATAACATCATCATTCACAACATTCAATTGGCTTAAAAATCTGTTATGAAACCATGGGTGCATTATTGTTTCCAGCAACAATATTTATTGACTTTTTCCCTACATTTTTTTTTTTTATTTGATATCTCTTACTTATAAGCCGTAATACAGCACGTGCAATTTTTTTTTTTTTTTTTCACAATTTGCTAAAACTTTCAGATAATTTGACCTCGAAATATCAGTAAATTCTGTTATCAAAAGAAACCATCTGACGTCAGAGATGTTTAGTACGTCACACATAGACAGTAATTGTCCTGATGTTTGATATTTGGATGTTTGAGTAACTCGTGTGAATGATCGTCACCATATCGTAGTAATCGTTTCTGATGAAAGAAAGATCTTTTTTTTTCTTTTTTTTATTTTTATTGCACAACATACGTCAACACATATTATATTTCACACAAAGGAAATTCACACTCACAACTATTAATTTTTTACATAATCAATGGTAAGTCGATTAAAATATCACGTATACAGTTAAAAAAATATTTTTTTCTATTTTAACGCTCATTGTTCTCGTTCGGGGAAGGAATATCGTTGCCGATTTCCAGACCCATATAGGTACCTCTATTTAATGGTAAGTATAAAAACGTATGGCTGGAAATGATTAGACCAGTAAAAATGGCACCGTACACGTGTGTATTTCATAATGTACTACCCGTCGTCTCGGCTTATCGTCAAGTCGAATAAAATAAAAAGTTGATCTCATTAGCTTTGCAAAGTATTAAATGTACATCGAAAGCGAGAGGAGAGAGAGGGAGACAATTATCGAGGTGGCGCTCGTCGATTACGACCGAATAATTGCAAATTTCTCCTCGAACGAGAGAGAAAAATCGGCCGTGTGGCTCGTGTGTAACCGAAGTGATAAATAAAAGCACACGTATATAAAAGCTAGATAGATAAGGCAGCTGCGATTGTGACGTTGATGCATCGGTTATCAGGGCTCGTATCTTTGATACCGGCCGTGTGTGTACGTTTGATTTGTTAACAACTGATACGCGCTTCGTTGTGAAAAGAAGAAAAAATAACTTCTGGGAATGTGCGCGAAGTGCCAAATGGGCTGTCGATCAGTGACGGTACAGCGTGATGAAGGTTCCTCTCGTTTGCGGTGAGTTATGGTAATTTTTATTTTATTTTTTAATTTTTTTTTAATTTTTTTTTATTTTCTTTTTCATACGCACTTTCTTGTACGAACGCGTCGTGGCTCGGGGATTAAAAAAAAAAAAAAATAAAGATTTTCGTTGCGTTTATCGGGGTTAAACGTAATCTTTTATTTTCATCGAGCTTACGAAATAACGTCAATTTGAAGTTAATGTCGCAACCTCGCGTAGCATTTACTTTTTATGCGTTTGATGATTTTACAAATGGGTGTGTGGTTTTTTTTTTTTTTTTTTTTCAACCATCATCTCGAGCGTTTATTAGTCGATTAATTGCTCTGAAACGAGAAAAATGAGAAATGAGTGGTAAATTGTAGTTTTTGTGTTACTCGTTGCAAAAGATGCATTTAGAAAAGTATTGGTTTAAACTTATTTTATCTATAGCAAAAGAATACAGTAGAAAAATTAATTCGTGATCAAAACTTGGTGGACCACTCCGTTCTGGCTCCTGCGGTTGATTAAAACGACGTACCGTATTTGAAAATAATATCCAATGAAATGTGATTTTCAGTATTTTCGATCCTGTTTGCCGGCAGTAGTCTATGCGATGTGTCCAAAAACGAGAGTAAGTTGACGAAAAAAATAAGAACCGGATACGTTGACATTGAAACGAAAGACAACAGAATAGTTTTGGTCATCCGTAAAAGCGGTAAGTCCACGAGATGCACAATAATTCCACATATCCTCACACATTACTTCCATAAAAGTGACAAATGTAAAAGTAATGTAATCGTATACTTTTTGATAAATTAATCGATCGTTGCTCAAACGATTGCGTACAGAGATAAATAATATTGAATAATACTTAAAAAAAGCCGATAAAATTATTTAACAAGAGCAGAAATGATATGACGCTTTTCTTCTCACCGGAGGGGTAAAAAAAATGTGTAAGAAATTAGGCAAATTGTTTATCACTTTTTAAATATGCATATAATATAAGAAAAAAAAAAAAAAAAAAAAAAAAAAAAAAAAAAAAACCTTTGAGTGCTCTTACAAGTGCAACTGCAACGAGCCTTGGCACTTTGGGCCGCAAATCACGAGCACACAGAGTGCCAAGCAATGTGTACCACTTGTATGAATCGCAGATGGGAGGAAGATCAGTGCCTCCCTGTACACCAAGTACCCAGGCTCGATGAGCAACGAGTCCCTGAAAATCGAGCAGGACTGCGAGCGGCTGACCACCTGCATCCAATTGGGCAACAGGACCCACGCCAGGATAAAAACCGATCCCGAAAAGGAAACGGTCCAGGTGAATCGCAGCACGTCGACCGCCTCGGGCCAACTGGCCGATTGTTTCGCCCTTACCGAGGACGTCCTCTGGTTCGGGGGCCCGGAGCGCCGGATCCAGCACTGGCCGGTCCAGAACACCTACGTCGAGGACGAGGCGTACCTGCCGAGCCACCCCCAGCACATGGGCGTCGCCGAGAGGTACTGGGTGACCAGCAGCGGGGTCTACCTCCTCGCCGCCCAGAGGGAGCCGCTCTTCCTCGACCAGAACAACCTCAAGGACCGGCACCTCTGCCTCGTCGCCAAGAACAGCCCGCCTTACCAGCGCCGCGACGAGGTGACTCTCAGCTACGAGATCGGCGTGTTCGCAGATACGCGGGCCGCCCACCTCTACGTCGTTGACAAGCACTTCGACAAGCCAAAGGCCCACCCGAGCGAGCTCATGGTCGGTCGGCCCGTGTGGTCGACCTGGCCGAGGTTCCAGGCCGACGTCAACGAGTCCCGCGTCCGGGAATTCGCCCGGCAGATCGGGGCCAGTGGCCTCGGCGCCAGCCAAATCGAGATCGACGACAAGTGGGAGACGTGCTACGGCTCCGCGAAATTCGACCCGGCCAAGTTCCCCAGCCCGAGGAACCTCACCGGTGACCTCAAAGCCCTGGGTTTCCGGGTCGCGCTCTGGGTCCACCCGTTCGTCAACAAAGGCTGCAACGGCACCGAGGGCGGCTACGACTCGGCCCTCCAGAAGGGCTACTTCGTCAAGAACGAAAAGGGCGAGGTGCGCACGAGCTGGTGGCAAGGTCGGTCTCCATTCCATGCTCCACACATCCAAACGCCTTTTGAGGGGCGGTTACAATTCACTATTTTAATTGTAAAATTGCCACGGCCAACTCTACCAAAATGGTCAGAATTACACAAGGGGCAGGATTTTTTTTGAGAAAAATGTTCGTTCAGTTTGGTAGAATTGGTCAAATGGTCGTTGGATGCATATTACGAGTAACACACAACACTTGGATCTCTAATTGTTGTCGATCCCACAGGCAGTGACGCAGCAGTGGTTGATTTCACGAACCCCAAGGCGGTCGATTGGTGGGTGGGCCGATTGAAGAAGCTGCAGAAGGAGTCGGGCGTCGACGGTTTCAAATTTGACGCGGGTGAGGAGTCCTGGCTGCCAAAGGGTAGGCCACAGCTGAGCGGAGACAAAGACCTGCTGCCCGGCGCTTACAGCCGCGAGTACGCGACCATCCTGGCCGAGAGATTCGGCGACAGTGCAGAGGTGCGGGTCGGCTGGCGCACCCAGGGCTTGCCGGTCTTTGTGCGTATGATCGACAAGGACTCGAGGTGGACCTGGAACAACGGGCTGCCTACTCTCGTGACGACGCTGCTGCAGATGAACTTGAATGGGTACGTCTTCGTCCTGCCCGACGTGGTTGGCGGCAATGGATACGTCGAAGGCCAGTCTCGGGACACTCGAGCGCCGTCCAAGGAACTGTTCATCCGGTGGATGCAGGCAACCGTCTTCATGCCCGTTATGCAGTACTCCTTTGCGCCCTGGGACTACGACAACGAGGTATCAGACTTTTGTGCTTTTCAGATTACCTGTGGACGAAGAAGGGCAAAAATGCATCGTAATCGTGGTACGCACACTTGTGAACAAATATGACACACGTGCGGACGAAAAGCGTATGATCTTTCGACCCAAGTTACAGTGAAGCTTCGATACTTTGCAGTTGTAAATTTTGCTTTTTCCCATGATACAAAATTTGTTTCCAGACGATCGAGATCAGCAAAAAATTTACGGATCTTCACGCGCAATACGCACCAAAAATGATCGAGCTAATGAAAAAGGCAGTAAAGACCGGGACTCCGATAAATTTGCCGGTTTGGTGGCTGGAGCCGTCAAACGCAAAGGCTCTCAGAGTCAACGACCGTAAGTTCCTTAGAAAAATTGGCGCAACCATTTCATGTAAGCTACATCAATACGTTTTCGACAGAGTTTTTGCTGGGAGAAGAGATTTTGGTAGCCCCCATCCTCGAAGAAGGCGCCAGATCTCGCTACATTTACCTTCCGCCTGGCCAGTGGAGGGATCCGAGAACTCAAATCGATTACGCCGGTCCCATGGAGTATCACGATTACCCAGCCCCATTGGATGTATTACCGTATTTTATAAAATCTTGATAAAACGGCACGATTGACAACTACGTTTCGAGGCTGTTACTTTAATTTAAAGTTTAATGTAAAAATGTACAAATATAATAAATTTAAAAAGAAAAAAGTGTACAAAATACGATTCGTAAACGCCCATCCATCCGCGTATGTACAACTGATTTACAAAAGAAGTATCTATAGGTTCCCGTCAAAATGGGAATCAACTGTTCATCAGTAAAGATCTTATCTCGGAATTCAGTTTAATTATGTTGTCATCCGTGCTCGTGTAGTCACCCGTTTTCAAAAAAGCGTCGCGTTTCTCTATCAGCATCCGCAGTTATTTTTCACTCGCGTTGCAATCCGACGACAAATCCGATTTCACAAGATTGTAGTCCAAACTCAAGTGATGCGGAGCTAGCAATTTCTCTTGGGATCGAGATCTCGCGTAGCGGCGATTCGATGGTCTTGGTTTTATCACGTCGAGTTCTCGTTGTATCGCGTTCAAGGCGATTTGATCGTACGTCAGAGCTGCCGAGTCTGCGTGCAGGATTTCTTCCAGACTGTAAAAAAAAAAAAAAAAAAAATAATAATAATTTTGTCGTATGCACGTCGCATCGTACGAAAGCTTGTCAACGTTGAAATACTTTACTCGAAATTGTGCAGTTCTTCTTTGCTACTTTGGATCTGAGACACGAGAGCTCTTTGGTTTTGCGTTTTCAATTTGTGTATTTCCATGACAGCGTTGTCCCACTGCTCTTTGAAAAACTTTTTGCTTTTCTGAGCACCGTCCAATTTCTCTTCGAGATTTTTGAGCTGCTGTAGTATCGATGTGGTCTGATCCTCGGACAACGAGGCTTTCTTAAATGTGCTCAGTTTTTCGCTTTGCTCCGTTTTGACCTTCTCCAATTCATAGTTTTTGGTATTTAACAGTTCAATTTGTCGAATGAGACTGCGATTTTGTTCCTCAAGAGTCCTTAGCTAATGAATGAACCATTAATTTTATTACTCAAGTAGACCATGGTTATTGTAAATTATTTTTGTACCAACTTTTATGTCGAATTCGGCTTGCATTTTATCAAGCGCGTCTTGAAGCTGTCGTAATTTGCGTTCGTGCTTCCATTGCAATTCTTCGTTTGTTTGAATCAACTTGGTTTCCCTTTCGAAGCTTTGTATCTTTCTTTTTCTCAAATCTTCGATCGTTTTGCTAAGATTATCAGCCAGCACTTTGCACTGTTGAATATTTAAAGCCACCTTGGATTCCAAGCACTGTCGTCGCCTCTGCCATTCTTCGTTTAGCAATGTCAAGTGAGCTTCTTCTTTTTTTCGTAACTAATACGTTTTACAAAAATTAACATTTGAATGAACTCATTATTTATTGCATGTAGTACCTCATCTCGGAATAATTCTTTTTGCCTTTCTTTCCACGTTTCAAGTTCGTCTATGATTTTGTAAGCCAAATCATTGTTAAACATTGTTCCTGTAATGAAGTAAAGCGTTAAAAAAAATATTCATGTACATAATACCAATATTATTGATCAAAAGTGTTACCAGAAGTTTCCTCGTGTGTTTTCTTTAACACAGATATCGTGCAATCTTCTAGACAAGCAAATATTTCCATGAAACCAATTTCGTTTTGCAAATTGCAGTCACGCAGTACTTTGGTGTATTGGCATTCTGGCTACAACAAATGATCATTTATTATCAGACGTAAAATTTTTTCAATACATGGTGAAATTCTGTTGGTACCTTTTGCTGATCAAATAACTTTTTAGCATCAAAAGCTATTTGAGCCAAACATTTTCTTTCATCGGAAGTACAATCACAAATATTAATTTTTGGTGCAAAAGTCGACAATACTTCTTCAATTTTATCAGAAGTTGAAACAAAATGTAGATTGCACTTGACGTCTTGAAGTTCTATCGTTTTTTCTGCTTCAATTGGTGCTTCGACAGAAGCTTTTGCAATAACATCCCCTCTTGTAGTGTAGAATCTAAGATTGAAAATAACATTTTTTTCATGATTTCAACTTTAACTGTAAAAAAAACAAGCTTTTAAAAGTTTTTATCGTACCTGAACTCGATTTTTTTTATATCAGGCTTGGAGTAATTAAATGTGATACTTTTTACTATTAAATTCAAGCAAAAATTCCTGTAAATATTTGTAACTTCGACGCTGTGTTTTTTGCCATGAACATTTTGTTGATTGTGGCCAATAACATTGTCCGATGATGAAATGTAGGGAAGTCTATTCGACTTAAAANTCCACCCCAACACAATAATGATATATACCCGTTGAGAAAATGGCTTTTGTTGTGCAATTGTGTGTGTAGCGTGAAGTAGGATAAAAACAACTTAATAATCGTGAAACGGCAATAATAATAATAATAATAGTAATTTTTTTTTTTTTTTTTTTTTTCCTTTTTTTCTTCTCAACCCTATCCTTTCATCAACCCTAGTTCAATACATTTTATTCGGAGCGCAACGCGCGGTGGGTGAATAGCCTTTTTTTTTATATATATTAAAGTGTACCAACCCGTGGGGGGGTATAGCCATTTTAGTTTTTTAATGGGAAAAAGCAGTGAAGAAAAAAAAGGGGGACAAAAAAATATGCGCGAGCAAAGGAAATACGTGGCAATTGCCTCACCGATTGAATAACACGAGGATTAAAGTTTATCAACACCAATCAGACCCTTAAACAAACTAACGCGATCTCATTCAATGTGTACCTAAATGGCACGAGCCATCAACAGACACAGTGTGACATGTAGATACACTTATGGAAAAATGAGATTAGACGAAATTTTTAATCCCCCAGAGAGATCACAAAGATGGACTCATTCAAGAAGATGACCGAGCCACGCGAAGACAACGAGGTGAAAAGGCGCGTCGAAAGGTACATGCCCGGTGGCCCGAATAATAAGGTCGTGACGAATTGCTGGGGATCTTGGGGGACGTCGTCGATGGAGGCGCCGGCCAGGGTGTATCCGGCAACGCACCAGCCGTACAAGGAGTACGACAATAAACGCCCTTACAAATACGAGCCCATCAATCGGATGGGAAAACACGTGGAGGGACTCAGTCATTGGAATCCGGAGCCCGAGAAAAAAGATAATACGAAGAAATGAGATGAACAATTTTTTATTCCCTTTTTCCTCTCTGGAATTTATTTTATTTATTCACGGTGTGTCACGTTACCTGATAAATTATAAAGGTCTACATTTTTTCTAACATCTAGTTAAAAAAAAAAAAAACAAAACAAAACAAATATTGACCAATACGTAAATACTTACTTTTCAATTGTACATTTTTTTTGTTTCTGGTGACATGTGTAGCATTGGCTCGATCATTCAAAGATAATCTACAACAATAAGTATATCTCATGCTAAAATACAATTATTTGTTCTTTCATTTTTCAGACTATTTATTTGTCTTACTTTTCTGATTACGTTTAATAAAACAAGGAAAAGGGGTATTCGTATTTCACAAACTCTTTTTTTTTTTTTTGTATAATTCTAAAAATTTTTTTAAATGTTGAAAACATTTTGTTGATTGTGGCCAATAACATTGTCCGATGATGAAATGTAGGGAAGTCTATTCGACTTAAAAAAAAATATTTTTACATCATAAAATTTAGTTGAATTTATATAAATAACACATGAAACGTTTATTTATAAAAAATGACTTACTGTTACACTCACACTTGGATTTTTGGTTTGCTCTTGTGAGTTGTGAAGATGATGGTCATTTACTGTGAATTGTGTTTGCGAAGAATTTGGTAATAAAATATTTTTATCATTCGCACTTTCTTTCGATTCCATGAGTAATAATTTAATATTGAGATTAAGACTGGGAGATTCTTCGTTTTCATCTGTCAAAGGAATTCGGATTAAAATGTTAATTGTGTTGATTATTTTGTATCGTTATACCTTTTTTATAATCTCCTTTACTCTCTTTAGAATGAATGTTTTTCAGAACACAGCGATATTCAATAGCGGATGCAGGATATTTATTGATTTGTTTCATGTTTTGCAAGTAATTTGGATCCAGCAAGGATTGCAAACTAATTTCCGATTGAGCAACTGCCACGTTGTTGTATTTCAGTTTCACAAAAAAATGCGACTTGGAATTTAAATAATTTGCAAGTACACTGATGGAACTTCTTATTTTTATGACAATTTTTTGATTCAAATAAATACTGTCCGATTCAAGCTTGAAGGATTTTAGCTTGAAAAACATTTCAAAAATATTGTAAATCAATGTCAAATCATTGTTGTTGCTTTCTCTGGATTCTTGCTTTATTTGACCCAAATTTGTCAAAGTTTCTGCAGTGATGTGAAGTAAAAATACATCGTGACACGTATCTAAAGCACCAAGTTGTATTAGGTGCTCATCTTGTAACCATTTTGGTATAATATTTGAATTAATTGACACGGCATCTTGGAGCTCTTTATCCTACGTATTACATAAATTAGTACGCATTTTCAAGCACATGTACTTGTGATGAATAAATTGTTGTATACACCTTTTGTGCTGTTTCAGCTGGTTTAGCGTCCCTTTCTCGAATGATCAAATAAAGCATCAACTTTGGCTTGCAGTTGCTAAATTCATTACGCACCCCCAGAATGGTATGCCAATTCATTTTAATTTTGGAATCTTCACCTTGATGTATGATCTGGGCACATCGTACGCTGAGCAGGATGTATCCAAGTTTTTCCCTGCTACCATTGTCATGAACTGCATAGCATTCAACTTTGATTGGTGTTGAATTACATCTCATTCTATAAAGTAAATACTCACAGTTATTGAAAAAGGGTTGTATAAACTAGGTACAGGAGCATACTTTCTCAGAGCATTTTTGTCAGTTTCCCATGTCAAGTCCGTTGCATACTGCGGATTACAGTCCGACTGGAATTTTTTTGTTTCAAGGCACTGGCCATTCAAAGTCGCCAGGACTACTGTTGGCTTTTGCACTCGATCAAAGTGGCATCCTGAAAATAATCATCATTTGAGTACACGTAAATATCGTTCAATTACCAAATGAAATTATCATCGAGTAAGCTTATAGTAGTGAGAGTAACGAGCGAAATTGAAAATTTGTAGAGCATATACTTGATTGTTTCTCGCTAAAAAAATATACCAACAGAGATATCTCTCTCTTTCGGTGTTTAAGGTGAGGTTATTAAGATTTAAAATAACAATACTTACCTTCTTTTACTCCTAAAACAAGATTGAGATTTTGATCAACGAAATTTTCCATTTTGTTGGATAAAAGTTTGTAAGTAGCGATTATAAAAAAAAAGAAAAAAAAATAATACAGTGTGCTTATACTTATGCTGTAAACAAGAACGAAAGTCAAATGAAGCAGACCAAATTTTTACGCAACTGTCATCAATGCGCGCGCGCGCGCGCCCTTTTTGTTGCTATTGGAAACTCCGAAAACCGGATATTTATTTACCAAGTGTGCACCGAGGGCTGAGTGGGTGACGGGGGCGACGTTTTGTAATGTTATGAAAAAAACATGCAACTATCCATCATAATATCTATAAAAAATTGCATTTTTAAACAGATAACTGAGATAACCCCTTGTACATACGTCTGTGAGTGAAAGACTTGCAATTGAGCAAAGGTAAAAATATTAATTGAAATGTGGTTGAAAGGTAAAATGGTATAACTATTAAATCAATTGATGCATTGTATAGAGTGTAAAAAAGGAACAAACTACAAAGTGCATGTATATGTAACATAACAATTAATATTTTTTATGATTTTGCATAGATGCCAGACTGTTCTGCAAAAGGATGTAGAAATAAATCCAAGCATGGAATAAAAATGAATTATTTTCCTAAAAATCCTGAACTAAGGGAAAAATGGAGAATCAATTGTGCTACCCTTGGTGGTATGACCGAGTGGATCCCAAAAGATTCATCTGCGTTGTGTGAGGTACATATACCATATGACTAATATTTACTATACATTTGTTAATGCATTCAAACAAGTCATTGTTAGTACGACAATATTTTGGTCTCTAGTACCATTTTACAGCTGATAGTTGGGAAAAGATCAGAGTGGATGGAACGAAAAAGTTGAAATTTAATTCTGTTCCCACTATTTTTGGAGATCTAGTATATCAAGCCAAAGGAAAGGTTTCAAAAGGTACAAGTGTGTCGCTGGACATTAAAAATCGTGTAATGACCAAAGCAATTTTTTGTTTACTTGCAGAGCCACGATGCGAGGACGGTAAAGTGTTACTGGTTCACATTGACAAGGTCACAAAACAAGTGCAGTTGTTACAAAAAGACGAAAGGTTTCAATGTTCTCCTGGTGCTGATGCGACAAATGGTAACGTTAATAGAGTATATTATGAATCAATAGATAAAGGGTTGATGATGTAAAATAGAAATTAACAAATGCATTTTTTGGCAGAAAATGCTTTACCTATGTCTACTGACAAAAATTTACAAACTGTTAGCACCAATGTCGAGTCTGGTGACCAAGTAATTTCGGAAATTATATTTATAGATGATTTTCCCAATAAAAATAGTAAGACGTACAAAATGTTGATCACGTGCAATGATGTAAATCACGTTTTCTTATTACATAATTTTAATTGATTTTAGATTCCAATAATAAACGCTCTAACCCTAACAAACGCACTGCAGAAGAGGAAAACGAGTTGAGCAATTCGCAAAAAAAATCCAACAGTGTTGACACAAACAGTGATGTTAGAAGGAAATTCGAAAGATTAAAACACATGTACGTTAAAAGTCAAAATCGCAGTTTGATGTGGAAGACGAGAGCGAAATGCGAAATAAAAAAGTTGAAAGGTATCATAAGTAAATTGGAGGAGAAAATTCGTGTTCTGGAAGGTAAGAGTTCAAATTTGTTCAAACAAAAAAAAATGTCCAGATGGTGTGACCATTTCACGACGGTTAAAACTTGTCGTCTGAAATTACCTTGTGGTTTAACCAGCTACAAAAACTTCTTGCGCCAAAGTCACCCGCTACCATCTTTCTGTGAATCAGGTAACAGTAAGCTTGAGAATTGGAAATTCGCAAGCGGTAACTGCGACGCGATTTTCGAGTTTTTAAAGACAAAGGTTTCACAATTGAAACACGATCACGAGAGAGATTGTCTATTAATTATAGAAGAAATCGGCATCACGCCAAAGCTTTGCCACGATGACGCATCCGGTGCTATGATAGGCAATGTCACGCTACCCGGCCACGATGACAAAGAGAGGGCAACGCACGCGGTTGTATTCGTGTTGGCTGGAATCTCCAAGCGATGGAGGCAAAGCATCGACTACTTTTTCACGGGAAAAAGCATCGACGGCAGCGTTTACCGATCGCTCATTGTAAATTACGTCAGAAAAGCCAACTCCGTCGGCCTAGACGTCCACGGCGTCGTGTCCGACATTGGCTCGGCGAATCAATGCATGTGGCGAACGTTTGGTATATCGGCCCACAGGTACTCGGCCATAATCACCAAGTGTCCACACCCCGTGGATGACAACCGATTTTTGTACTTTTTTCACAACGCCACTCGGGATTTTGAAAATCTCCGCCAAGGCAAGTTCAACGACGACACCGACATCATCATTCCACCGTCGTTTGTCGAAAAGTACCAGTTAAAAACCAACTTCACGAGCGCAAAGCACCTACAGGATTCATTTAGATCGCAAAACAGTGTCGACGCAACCTCCCGTTTATCGGGCACAAGCGGGGGGCTCGAGTCTTTGACCGGCTCATTTTTGGTAGCCCAGTTCGGCAAGTGGTTGAAAGTCATGACCTGCGAAAGTACCGGGGCTAAGCACGACGAAAATTTCGACTTTTTGCGGGGTTTCGTGGAATTGGTGTCCTCGTTGAAGTTCGAAAAGGGACCCGAGTGGAAGCTCTTTCAAAAAGGCATCATCTTGTCGACGACGTCCTACGTGGAATTGGCGTCGTTTCTGTCGAACGCTCGGGGCTACGGATTCGTCGCTGGTCGCACTTTCACGTGGGACTGTCTTTTTGCCATCTCACCGGTAAAAAATTGCACCCTCGATGCCCTGCAATTGAGAAACCATCTCAAATTGACGACGCTTTCGCAGTACTTGCAGCAGGTGTCCTCCGATCGTAAGGAGAATGATCGCGACTTCCTGCCCGATTTTTTGCAAACTACTTTGGAAAATGGCCCGATAACGGTACGCAACGGTCCACCGGCGACGACCGCACCTCATGGCATGCACTACAATCCAAAAGCCAAGTACCACGATGTATCTCTCGACAACTTCGAGGTGCACTCGTTGCACAGTATTGCCGATCGTGTGGTTGAATCTATTCTTCGAATCGATGGAGCTTGCAATTTTTGTCTCGCTTGTACTGGTCGTTTCAAGTGGCGTTTGAGTTCGCGCGGTAAGTTACCTCAACGTTTCGCGGGCGAATTGTCGTTCTCCGTGAACCAGAGGGCCTTCAACTTTTTTGTCGAGATGGAAAAAATGTTCCGAGGGACACTGAAAGGCGTCAAATCGGTTTCTCCGTTGAACTTGCGACGTACGTTGGTGACAAAATTTCTGGCCATTCCTTACATTTTACCGGATTGCCATCGTTTAAAATCGGAAATCGTACGCAGATTTGTCATGTTTCGAATGAAAATGTACATGAAAAAAAATAAACACGCCATAGGGACCCGCTAACGCATGTTATAATTGTCGCGTGCATCACTCAGGCACTGTACATTATTGTAAAAATCGTACCCATACATTTATAAACTCACTCTTAAGTTATACATATGTACATAAAATTGTTAAAACTTTTTCAATAAAAGAAACACTTGTAAAGTAATATCTATATCAGTATACATATGTTTTTTTCACCATTAAATTTTTTATTCAACCCTTTCGTGCAGAATGTTGCTACTTTCTTACCGTCAAAGTACAAAAGAAAAACTGTTGCATCAAATTTGGAAATACAAAATTTCCCTAGGCATTAAATCTCATTAAGGTCAGCGGTATTGCTGATAACGTCCATTCGTACATGTATATGTATATATGTGAACGTGTGTAGCTGTATACACCTGTTCGCTAGCACAGCGCAATGGTCAGCGAATGATGTATGGCCATTGTTGAGCGTAACGTTCACACGAAGTCACACCTTGACCAAAGAAGCATTTATTCCTTTGATTAGACAAGTCACCTGCAGCCTACCGGAACACACTGTGGTAAGCTTAGTACAAATATATAGTTTTTTTTTTTTTTTTTGCGAAAAACATTAGTTTCACACAGCCATAATTTTTTTATTAATCATCGAGTTACGGGTATTTTAGCCATATAATCTAGCGGTGAGCTAATCTTTTGCACCAAATTCTTTAAAGCAACACCTTTGTCTCTGTATGTGAGTATATCAAATGCCCACTAATTTAACCGTATTCAGTACTCATATAGGTACTAACTGGCTGCGGGTTATTTTTCATTTTAATTTAACCGCAAAAGTGCCCTGTTTTATATTGTTATTTTTTTTTTTTTTTTTTTTTTTTTTTTTTTTTTTTTTTTT